TATGGTTTCTTTGTTCTGTATTCCATATGAGTAGCCAAGTTCAGTCTACCATCTACAATTACCAACCCATCTTCATCAAGCGCGGGACACAATTGTTTAAGACGACTTCTCCGGTCTAAAGCTGTATCTTTTTTCAGGGTACAGATATCATCCCAGAAGCTTTGCTGTTGAGATTTTCCTATCCAATATTTTTCGGCTGCATTCATTTCTTGCACTGTCAGATCTTTTGGGATGTTAATATCTTCTTTTCTTACTTTCCTTAATAACTTGTTTATGTATCTTTTTACCCAAGAAGTAGTTCGGATCAAGCGAATCCATTTGGAAAATCTTTCAATCTTGAATATATCCTCTTCTTTTTCAGTAGATACTGCTACAAATTCTGCTTTCATCTCTGAAGAATACTCTGGACACGTTGTACATGTAATCTCATTTTCTGAAGGCCAATATTCTTCAGAATTTCTCAGAAATTGTGGACCATGAAACCAGTTATGTAATATAGTTTCGATTGAATCATTCGATTTTATTCTAGTGGCATAATCTGCAACATTTTCATTCGTGGGTACCCACCGCCATTCTTCAACCGATGTCGATTCTTGAATTTCACCTATTCGATGTGCCACAAATTGTTTGAAATCTCTTCCATCGCTTCGTATCCACTGTATGACACATTTGGAGTCTGACCAGAAGTATTTTTGACAAATTTCTATCTCCAATTCATCACATATTGTGCGCGATAATCTGCTGGCCATCACTGCAGCTTGAAGTTCAAGCCTGGGAATCGACAAAGGTTTCAGTGGGGCTACCCTAGTCTTTGCTGATATCATAGCTACATCTATGAAACCTTCCCCGACAATGCGAAGATAGGTTACACTGGAGAACGCTTTTTCACTGCTATCACAGAATGTATGTAATTCGAGTCTTTTTGCTGTAGGAATATTAGTGGAATAACATCTCGGAATTTTAACTTTTTCAATTTCCTTAAGATCACCAAGCCATTTCAACCATCTTTCTTCGATACTTCCGGGAACATGGTCATCCCAGCTTATACCTGACCGCCATACATCTTGCATGAGTATTTTCGCCCTAACTGTGAAGCAAGCTAGCAGGCCTAGAGGGTCATAAACCGACATAATATTTTTCAATATTTGTCTTTTTGTGAAACTCTTAGACGAGTCAGCAGCTTTCAAGACATTAGCATTTATTTTGAATAAAAGTTCATCCGTGGTTGACTGCCACCATATCCCAAGAACTCTTTCAGGTGAACAAGCATCGTTTTCGAATGTTTTCATCATCAACATGTCTTCAGACAGAGTGTTTCTCACCAAATTCGAATTTGATATCCAATTGACAACCTCGAAGCCTCCAAGCTTATGAACATTAAAAACATCCTGTATCATTTGAAGTGCTTCTTCTTCTGAATCTAAAGAATCCAAATAATCATCCACATAAAATTTCTCAGTTATGGCTTTCAAAACTTTTTCTGAAGGAGCTTCTTGTTTGGCGTTCAAATTCTTGATGAATTGTGCGCAAACCGGGGAACATGCTGCACCAAACGTCATCACCTGCATCTCAAAAACTTCTGGTGGTATTTCGAAGTTCAATCCTCTCCACAGAAAACGCTGAGCACATCGATCGACTTCACGGATTTTTACCTGGTGAAACATCTCACGTATGTCACCACATATGCCATATCTTCGCTGCCTGAACTTCCATAAAACCGAAGTGAGGGACTGAAGTAAGTCTGGCCCGGACATTAGGTTATCATTCAAGCTCTCCCCGTTACATTTAGCTGAAGCATCGAAAACCAATCGGATTTTTCCAGGCTTGTTTTCATTCACAGTGGCAAAATGAGGTAAATACCAGGTTCTTGATGTTTCAATATTCGCTTCATCAGATGGAACTTTCTTCGCGTATCCTTTTTCTAGGTAGCTATCAATCTTTTTACAATACTCCAAGGCGAACTTGTCATTTTTCCGGAACTTTTTCTCTAAACAACTCAGTCTTTGTAGAGCGACGGTCTTACTCTCTGGAAGTGTAACATTTTCGGATTTCCAAAGAAGACCTATTTCAAATCGATCACCTACTTTTCTAGCCGTTTCATTCATAAGTTCCATAGCTCGTGCATTTTCTTTACCCAAAACATTTGAAACCATGGCTACACCAAATGCTTCCGTCGAAAAGGAATTCCTCATCAATTCTTCCAGACGAACTTCATTATCACAAATATGGAAGATCTGTGCATGCATGCTACCTGAACCAGGACTAAGACCATGCAATGACCAACCTAGTTTGCATTTGGTAGCAACAGGTAAGTTATCTGGACCATTTCGAAACTGTCTGGGTAATATCAAATTAATATTGTCTTGACCAATCAATATCATTGGTCTTTCATTGGCAAAACTTTCAATTGGAAGGTCGTTCAAGTACTCATAAGCTATCCAATCGTCCATATTTACAGTTTGTTCTGGGAGAGAAAGCCCCTTCACGGTCCTGACATTTTCCAAAGAATATCTTCTGGAATTTTCTCTCACTCCAGATATCTTGAAATTCAATCTTTCAGATTTGTCCATGTTTGAGGTTATACCATTAGTCCACTGGATACAAAGTGGCTCGTTCTCTCCACGCAATCCTATTTCCCTAACAATACTTTCCTCAACTAATGTGACAGTTGATGCTTCGTCGCATAACGCTAAGACATTCAGTACACCATTTGGTCCAAATATGGAAACCGGAATCATCCTAAGCAGAATTTTCGCATTTGCGTGTCTAATTGAACATACTGTCTCGTTCTGGCTATTGTTGCTACATGTTGATGGGTTCGATTGTTGACTATCAGCCGAGGAAATATTCGTTTTGTGCAACAAAGGGTGATGGAAATACTTGCATCCATCTTTTCCACATTCCTGTCGCTTCTTGCATCTGAATTTCTGATGACCTTTCTGTAGACATGAAAAACACAATTTTTTATCGGTGATTGTTTTCCACCTACTATCAACGTCATCATCGTTCATTCTTGGACAGGAACCTTCTACATGTTTATTCTCACAATAGAAGCAGATTTGTTTTCTTGATATTTCTTTTGTTGCCAATACCCTCTCATTTTTCTGTTGCCATGCCGAACTTCTCGAATTATATTTATTTTCAGTAATGTTAGGAATTTTCGGAGAACTAATGTAACAAGCAGCATTCGCAATTTCTGCCAGCCAAATAGAAAAATCTTCTAAAGTCGCTTTGCCTTCTTTTTTCACCAGAAGCTCGCCCCATTTCAGCTTGATTATCTCGGGTAATTTTCCAACCAGGTCTTTCAGCAGCTGAGGGTTGTTGAGATGATCCAAAGACACTAAAGCTTTCATGGTAGATATGAGATTTCTCACCTCATGTGATAAATGAATCAGCTTATCAGCATTGGTATCTCTAAAATATGGAATAGCTTTGATTCGTGAGATCATTACCTCAATGACTTGTTCCGTTCTCCCAAAGCGCATTTTCAGGGTGTCCATGATCAAATCTACGTTATTAGAGGTGAGCAGCATGCCGGCTACTGAAGTCTTCGCTTCCCCCCTCAAACATTTTTGTAGTTTGATTAATATTTCATCATTACTATATTGACACATTTTCACTATTTGCTGATATCTTTGAAGGAACAAAGGCCAATTCTCTGGATTTCCATCAAAAACTGGAAAATCCTTGTCCACTACATTCCTTGCTAACAACGTGTCGTGTCTAGCTGGAGAAACCGATTTCAAGACACTGGAAAGAGTTTCACACAGCAGTTGAATGTCTGTCGGATCCTTATTTTTCTTTGGATTGTCTGGTTCATGAATGCTTTCTTCTTTTCTAGGATCATCTACATCAATGTTGTTTACCCATTGAGCAACAGAGGTTACAGAATGAACGTAATTCCGTTGGTCTTCTTTACTACAGCATTCACTATCTTCAATGTCCACTGCTTCCATCTCAGCTTCTTTCAGTTGATGCTCCATTTCAAGAATCTTCATCTTATTTTCAATTTCCCTCCGTTGCTTTTCTAATTCTTGTCTTTCCCTTTCTGTCTGAATTGCAAGACGTTTTTTAGATAAACAAAGAGATGCTTGTGATCTGGATCTAGATTTGCATGATGCACTTTTCATAGAACGTAGTTCAGAACGCCCTGTATCATCATGACTTTTTCTGATAGACATGTCACTATTATTGACGTTTTTCGAAATACCTGGTGAATTCAAACTTTGAGTTTCATTCTGTAGAGTCTGAGGAACACTACTCTGAGGAGCACCATTGAGTTCTGTCATGGATGAAGGATGTATATCGTGTCCTTCTCCAAACCCTCTGGGCCACAGAAAGTCGCAGGACAATTTTCTGTTCACACCTGCATTACTCCTAACACACCTTTTCTCCTTCCTGGAATCTTGTCCGTCCATAGCTGTTTCAAGTTTTTCTCGAAGGACCACAATATTATCGCTAATATAAAGATTTCAACTTTCAGAAAACCTTTTTACTTTATTTCGTCTCGAATCTGACCATTACAATCATATATTTTTGACTCAATCACTTTTCCTGTCAAAATCCCCTAATACTATGTGTACAGAATTAACTAAAATATAAATTAGCCGTGACAAAGAGATAGAATTCGATTCCAGTCTCTAATATTCAAACTAAACATAACATCATTTTTGTCTGCTGTTGATTCAGTTAGGAGCATAAGGTATTGAAAAGATCAATGGGATTAACATTCTGAATATCGAGTTTCACATCCATTTACTCCATTTTCAATTTCAATCGACGTATTTTAAGCCGTTGTTATTGAGCATTTACGCACGAACGGAAGACCATAAGGCATAATATAATCCCTTTTACAGGGCCAGGGAAATTATAGCCATTATAATAGCAGCCCAAGATAATTAAAGCCAAAGTGATCCCGAATATAGACAACCAAGCATACACTACTAGTGTGTCGGCTGGCAATGTTCTGTTGCTGTACATGTTAAAAAAAGAAGAAGAGAAAAATGTCAAGATTGTCAAGTAAAACCATCAACATTGAATTTTCTGCAGAGTTCCTGTTCCTGATATTTTTTTTGATATTTGATTGACAAATTTCGAAAATTACTTGTGAGCTGAATATTTTTAGTTTCTCCATGGAAATGGAAGAGCAAGACTTTCAAAGATTTTACTTCTGAGAGATATCTTAACCTAACTTAAAAAGTCTTGAAAATGTGGAAATTTCCAAGATTTCATCATTCCAATAGAAATATCTATTCCATTGAAGGATGGAAGAGCGCAAGCAATAAATTGAGTACTAAAGTGAAAGGCACATTCCTAGAAAAATGGATGAAATACTGGAAACTTGTTGTGAGAGACTACACAGAAGTTGCAATCAACTTGAAACAAGAAATGAAGCAGAAAAAACTAAAATCAGCTATATATCTATCTGGTTTAGGATTTTTGGGCTACTCTATTACCCACAACCCTGATTTGCAAACTTTCAGAGCAAAATATGTGCAGTGTGCAAATGACTTGGCTTTAGTTAGTCAAGACTTAGCAAATCCAGAATCATTAAACCATCTGAAGTATGTTCAACACTGTTTCAATGCTAACCTAATTCGTTACATGAACTTGGGTGTATTCTCAATAGTGTGGGCAGATCAATACAGCAATGAATGTGACACTTATGAAAGTAATTGTTCATACTTGCAAGTACCTTATAGAAAGTTCACAGAAAGAATACTAGATATTGGATTTCTGAATATCTGGTGGATAACTTCAAGAAAAATGCTTGACTATGATATAAACTATTAGAATTAGACTATTTGTTGTTTCTAGTTGTACTTAAAAATGATAATAAAAACTCACCTTGAATTCTAATTCAGTATAGTGTTCTGTATTCTTCAGTATGTTCTTGGGCACTGGACTCATATCCCTTGCACCTGAATCCCACTCCCACTGATCCAGTTTGCCTACAAAATATCCAAAATACCTTTTGTGTTTTTAATACATTAACATGTTATTGATATTATTGAAAAATATGGTACCTTGACTATGGTCACTGATGTTATCTTTGCTGGCAGTTTTTAATGCATCAATTTCTGGCCTTAGAGCTAACCTCCTTTGCAAAAATTGCTCATATGAAATTCTGCCTTGTGAATCAGCACCCAGTTGAAGCATGAGCTCATCTAGGGAGTCTTCTAGACTTAATTCTCTGCATATAGCAAGGAGATCTTGACTAAAAACAGAAAACCCATTAGAGTACTATTATAGTGGATATCTCGGTGGATATTATGATTTTATGGTATCCATACCTATCAATGTATCCATCTCCATTTGCATCACAAGCCTGGAAGAGTCTTCGAACCCTTTCTTCATCGCCAATCGAACTAGCACTTTCACTTGCACCGTCTGTATCTGCCATACCTACCCCAAATCAAGATTCACAAGTCATTAGGGGATGATTTGGGCATAAGTAGAAACCGAAATTTCACATTAATTTCTTGATCGTCCTTATTTTAATCCCGATATCATAGGAACATTATCAGATATTATTCGAAGAATTAAATATTTCTGTTTATTTACCTACTTTATTTATGTACACGGATCTTTAATCTTCATTGTTTTTGTTATTATCAAGTTTTATGTTATCCTTCCTTCAACCACAGTTGCAGTGAGTGACAGAGTGACACTAGTGAGTGACAGTCATTCATTAAGTTAGAAGAATGATGGAAGTGTTAGAAATTAAAGTATGGTCCTTGACAGTTGAGGGAATATTGTGCTTCCACATGGCTAATAAACCTTTATTTCATCAATATGAATACCTCATTTATCATTCATGAAGAAGCCATCAGAGAAGATTTTTTCGAATATGGTTTTGATTTTGAGTTTTGACATGTGTTCCAAGAAAAAAATCATAATAAGAAACGTCAGACGTCACATTCGTCACATTGTAGTTGTAGAATGTAAACAACAAAAAACAACATTCTCCTTGACTCCTTGGCTTGGACAACATTGATCATGTCAACAAGACAAGATGAAAAATAGTAAATACTTCTAGTAAATTCGAATAACAAATGGATTTAGATCGCTATAAAATAAATTCAGTGCCACCTACAGTATATTACATTCCAAGTTTCATTACTTCAGAAGAAGAATCTCTTATTCTGAAAAATGTTTATTCCGTTCCTAAACCTAAGTGGACATGCCTGTCCAATCGTAGATTACAAGATTATGGAGGTGTACCACATGAGAAAGGTATGATTCCAGAAAAAATTCCTAGTTGGTTAGAATTGATCATGAACAAAATTGACCAATTTCATCTTTTTGGTGACAAGAAGGTAAACCAAGTTCTTGTAAATGAGTATTTGCCTGGTCAGGGTATAATGCCCCATAGTGATGGACCACTATTTTATCCTACTATAGCAACTATAACTTGTGGATCACATACTGTCCTAGAATTCAGCAAGAATGATGAAAAACGAGAAAAAATATGTGATTTGATGCTAGAATCATGTAGTCTTGTGATAATCAAAGATGATATGTATTCAAAATATTTACATTCCATTTCAGAGAGAGTTGAGGACAAGATATCTGACTGTGTTAATATTGATAATAATTATAATAATTGTAGGATTGATACTAGTGATGTTCTGAAGAGGTCCACAAGAGTATCTTTAACAATAAGAAGTGTTCATAAAGTTCTGAAAATAAAACTTTGGTAGCTATTGTTCTTTGTTTGATTCGCATTTTGAATAATTTGAATTCAATTTCAGAAATTAACATTTTTTATGTATATTTAGTTGCATAACCAACAGGAATGACAGTCTCGGACGACAGTGTTGCCAGTGCTAATACGCTCCCATCATATCTACGACAATTATTTTAATTTCGAACTATTTCAATGTCTTTTATCTCTGCCATCTGGTACCTATTCGCGGTAGTCAAGGTCAACATCTGACGTTGCGATGACAAGACGACATGAAAACTACGGAAAACATGTCTAACTTACAATCTAAGCCAGGAGTTAGGTTACTGATTTTCACGAGAAGGTAAAAAACGAACATAAATATATCGCTGGCCGCTGGCTTGCTTCTAACAGTTCTTGTCGGTGATGCCAATGTGTGTGCTTAATTACTGCATTTGCACGTATTGGCATTTCCTTGCACCAGAAATTCAGTAATGACATTTTGTGTGGATTCTGCACGGAATCACTGGTCTTGTAAGGATTTTGCACGTATTTTCTACTATAATCGTTGCGCATTTTCATGTGCTTTTGAAATTTCTGAAGTCACAAATTGACAATATTTATTTTTAATTTCTGTGTGTCAGTAGGGTGTATACTGTGGTGTCAGTGCAGTATCGGTATTAAATAACAACTATATATAGTGAGATGATTGTAGAAGCTTGGGGTTGTGTGGAATTTACTCCATCAAACCAACAAAATGCTTGAAAGTACTATTTGGAAAATGCATGTATAGTTCTTCATAATAGTAGAAATTCTATCGACGTGTTAAATGTTTATTCATTTTTTTTTACTTTTCTTCATCACAGTGAGCAATATAATAGTGCGACTGTCACATCTAGAAAAAAAACAGCACTAATAGTATATATTACGTAATATGTGTTGTAAGAAACATATTACGCACGAATGGAAAAGTTATTCCATGAGTGCGTAATTGCTTTACAACATGCATTACGTACTATACTTTACCTACTGCCATATAGTACATCAAAAAAGTTTGGACAAACAGTCTTAATTGAAATTCTTGACAGTTATATTATATGTAATCCGGAATAAACGGAAACTGTGCGATGTGCTTACTGTGCGTAAAGAGATACTTAGTGAGGCTGTATCTCGTGTGCTCATGCCTACTTTTCATAGTGGCCGTAGGTAAAAGTATGTAATGATATTTAATCGTGTGTTAAAATTTACCATCCCGGCACATGTCTACGCATACGGTTGCTTATTGCTTTGTACCCTACCTTTAAAAGGTGTCGATAGAAATCATGGTTACATAATCAAACAGCAAAACTAACACAATAATTCAAGGATACCAGTACTCCATCCGTTTCTTTCAATTCGATTAATTCACAAAAAAAAAACGGACTTTATTGCAGTAATTTGCGCAGATTGCCGTTGGCTCATAGGTCGCGTGCACGAAGACCGACCCTGGAGGCAAAATATTGAAACACAACCTCATTCTTCTGTGAATTATTGAAACACAACCTCACTTTTTTATTTGGTTACAGAAGAATCAAAAGGTTGAAATAGTTTTTCACAATATTTTGGCAAACGAATCGTGTTTCTTGCGTTATTCATTAATTCAAGCATGCCTTCGCATTGTGCTGTTGAACAATGAACAAAAAATGCAGCAAGAGACTAGGGAATATGATTTTTCAGGTAAATAGTAATCTCACATAGTTAGCATTATGAAATGTTGTCATTCCTTATTAAATTCCTTCTGCCTCCTGCCACTTCTGCAATACAAGCTATTGCTGCTAATAGATTGAAAATGTCTACAACACACACGATCGTCAGCATGTCAGACCAGTCCTCCCGATTGATTGCATCAATCCAATCTTCTTGCATTATTCTAGAAATTTCAGGTATATTTCTATTAGCTGATCCTATTGCAGAAGGAATTCCGATGAGAAATCAGAGAAATAACCAAATTTCAAAAATGAAAACTATGTGAGTGACTATAGTAGGTACTTACTTTTGAATCATAATTTACCATCCGGAATGCTTCATCTTCCGCTGCAGTTTTTGTGCATTTTACAACAGCACAATGTTATTATATATTCAAATAGATAATTCAGTTAGACAGTTTTTATATGTTTATTTATTATTCAGTCCGTTCACATCTCATTTACCATGACTACCATTCAGCACACTATAATCATATTCCATAGAGTATTCTATATAGTGTGATCATTATACAACATGCCCCTTTCATAAAAATCAAGGAGTAAAATAACAATAAACAATTCGATGTGATCATTATACAACATGCCCCTTCTATAAAAATCGAGGAGGAGTCAAAATAACAATCAAATGACACAAAATCTCATCCATCTTGAAGACAACTCTTCATTGGATCAGTACACGAAGTCTCTCAAGGTAGAAGGTATCTTCAGTATTCGACCTCTAGAAGACATCCGAACATTCTCTCTTCCTTGTATCATCTCGTTTTTTTCTGCGGATCCGTTTCTCGGCATCAATGCTGCTTCTTCTGAGTGTTCTCTGCCGCCCCCGGAGCTTCTATTCTTCCTCGGACTGCCTCTTGTAATTTCCGGTACATCGGGAATGGTTGTTGGAAAATCTTCTGAGGATGATGAACTTGAATGATAGTTATCGAAGTATTCAGACTCTTTGGAGGTGTGAGCTAACACGCATCGTTTGGGAGAGATTGGGACGGTTTGAGTTCTATTATTAGTTTTATTTGTTGGGACTGGTTTCAAATTTATTCGATTCCTTCTGTATGTTCCGCCATCATTAGTTTCAACGAGATAGCTTTCAGGTTGGCGATGAGGACTGATAATCCTTCCAGGTATCCAATTTCGAATTCCTTTCTGCATCATCACTGGTTGATCATGTTGTAAAGGTGATAATCGTTGAGCATTTTTATCATAGTACGATGAAGATAAAGTTTGATTATTCTTCAAAATTATCAAGTTCCTGTTAGTGTCAAAATTTGGCTTCAATATCCTTCTAGAAACTGGTAGTGTCGTGTTGAATTTTCTTCCCATCAGCATCTCAGCAGGAGAGGGTAAATTAGCTTTTGATGTACTATTATATTCCATTGTTACCAGATAAGGATTTTTGTGTGGGCATTTCAACAACATGTTTTTCAACGTTTGAATATGTCTTTCTATCAATCCGTTCGATTGAGAATAAGTGGGACTAGATGTCACATGTCGTATATCAAGGTCTTTCAGGAAATTGATGAACAAATAAGAACCGAAAGGAGGACCATTATCAGACATAACAGTAGCTGGTAGTCCATGAGATTTGAATATAAAACATAATGCATCTATAACGGAGGCTGCATTTTTATTCTTCAATAATACTAATTCCATGAATTTCGAGTGATAATCACATAAAACAAGAAAATTATCCTCATTCACCTGCATGAAATCAATTCCAATTTTCTCCCATGGTAATTCAGGAACTGGATGGGGGTGTAGTGGTTGTTTTTTATTCGATTTGGAGAATTGCAGGCATGTCAAACATCCAGATATCAAATCATGAATTTGTTTATTTATATTAGGCCAAAAAACTGAATCTTGGGCTTTTTTCTGACAAGCAATAATTCCTTGATGTGCTGAATGCAATCTTCTCAAAATCTCATCACGTTGGTCAGATGGTATGATTAGCTGATTGCCTCTAAAAAGAAGTCCTTCCATTTCATGAATTTCCGATTTATATGGATAATATGGTTTAGCTTCTCGTTTCACAGAAATTGAATGCTTTGGCCAACCATTCTTTAAATAATATCTCACGACTCCCAATTCAATATCTTGTTCTGTACTGTGAATTAAAGATTCTAATTTTTCATCCGAAGCCAAAATAATGGTACTTATTTGAAAATCGTCCATGAACCTAGTATCTTCATTCTGATTCATTGGAGCTCTTGACAAAATGTCTGGTATGTATAATTCTTTACCTGGGACATACTTCAGATTGATATCATATCTAAACAACCGAAGCACTAACCTCTGTAACCTAGGAGTCAGAGTTTCTATTGATTTATTTATCAATCCTAAAAGTTGTTTGTGATCTGTGATAGCATCAAAAGAACGACCATATAAATAATAGTTGAATTTCTCACATCCTACAACAATTGCCAACAATTCTTTTTCTATTTGGGCATAATTACGTTGCGCTTGAGTCAAAGAAGCTGACCAATATGCAACAGGATGTCTATCTTGACTTATATAGCCACCGATACCATACTGACAAGCATCTGTAGCCAATGTTACACGTTTATTGGGATTGAAATGACTCAAAACTGGAGCGTTTACGATCATATTTTTCAAATTCATGAATGCTTGAGCCTGTTACATAGAGAAGAATAATGGTTGAATCTTTTACAGTGATGGCAAATTTTTCCCCATGCAGGACATTTTCCGAATTCATGTGAAGTTCCACACCTATAACACGTCTTTTGACTATTTTTATTAACGAATACCTTTCTATTTTTGTAAGTATTATTATTATCATTTCCTTTAGAATCAATCTTTATTTTATCTATCGTACTATATGTCATACCTTCATCATTCGAACTGCCACTGATATTTTTTGACAAACCTGTCATAACTTTCATTTGCTTCTTAGATTCTTCACTTGCTCTGCAAATTTCAATACAGCTAATAAGAGTTAGGTCCTTTGTATTCAACAATTTTTCTCTCAGCGGATCACTGGAAATTCCACATACCATCCTGTCACGTATTAACGAATCACCCAGATCTCCAAATCCACAGTCTAATGCCTTTTGCCTTAAAATAGTCACATATTGATCAATTGATTGCCCTACCTGCTGGTTAGAAGTGAAGAACAGAAATCGGCTGTAAGTTTCATTCTTATATGGAGCAAAATATTGCGACAACTTTTCCATAATAACTTTAACGGTCCTTTCATTTCCTTCCTCTTCAATATATAATGTATTATAAATATCCAAACCGTACTCTCCCAGAATGTGCAAGAGTGTAGCTCTTTGCCTTTCCACAGGCTGTATTTCCAGATTCATAGCAGTCCAGTATAACTCCACCTGCTGTTTCCATCTTTGCCATGATCTTGCTGGATCATATCCGGGGTCGAATATCTTCGGGGGTTGAAGGTTCGCCATCATATGAATATTTTATATAATTATCAAGCGTTTTTAGCTGCCACCATATTATATATTCAAATAGATAATTCAGTTAGACAGTTTTTATATGTTTATTTATTATTCAGTCCGTTCACATCTCATTTACCATGACTACCATTCAGCACACTATAATCATATTCCATAGAGTATTCTATATAGTGTGATCATTATACAACAAATGTGATGGCATGAGCGAATTGATGAATAGCGGAAAAATACGATTCATATGCCAAAATAATTGTGGAAAACTATTTCGATCACTTGTAAACAAATTAGAAAAGTGACGTTGTGTTTTGCCTCCAGTGTCGGTCATCTGACAGTTCTTGCACGCAACCTATTGGCAACACTGGTTCTTATAACCTAAAAAATTTTAAATGACTGAAATGTCAAATTCATGAACTTGAGGTTAAATAACAAATTTGTTTGTTTATTAACAATTATTTTACATAAATGCTCATTTCTGAATGTTACAATGATTTAGCTCGTGCCATAAATGAAAACAACCAATATGCATTGCCTCAAAACAATTTTATTCAACAAAACTCATAATGCAAGTCTATGGAAAGTAATCAATCATCTCACGTTTTCTACTACAACTGTCTCCCAGAAAATAGATTCATTGAACATTTTTGATCGTAATACCAAAAGTCTTCAAAGGGAAAGAGCTGCGACAGCTGAAGATGTGAATCTCTATGATTACTTGAAAGATGAGATTGGTTTTCGACTTGCAGATCGAATATTTGACATTAAAAGAAAGTTCAAAGTAGCAGCAGACATAGGTTGTAAAGCAATGCACTATTTGATCTTGTATACATTTCATTTGCTCTACAGGATGTCATCGTGGATATGTATCAAAACATATTTCCCCTGAATCAGTTGAAGAACTTATACTGTGTGATGTTAGTCTCACAAATTTAAATTCAGCTCCAGTCATGGATGGTATTAGAATAAGGAAGCAAATCCTGGATGAAGAGCATATAGAGGTAATACAAGACACCTGATTTCCAGGAGTGTATTCAGTTTTCTTTTTAGTTTGAACCCAATTCTTTAGATCTAGTTGTTTCTTGTTTGAGCCTCCACTGGGTGAATGACCTACCAAATGCTTTCAAGCAAATACTTGACTGCTTGAAAGAAGATGGGGTTCTTCTAGCAGCTGTATTTGGGGGAGACACACTATATGAGCTTAGATCATCCCTACAATTGGCAGAATTAGAAAGACGTGGTGGTCTGTCTCCTCATATCTCACCTTTCACTGAAGTGAGGGATATTGGAAGTTTGTTGACTAGAGCTGGATTCACTATGTTGACCATTGATACTGATGAAATTGTGGTAAATTATCCTTCAATATTTGAGCTCATGTGGGATTTAAAAGGTGGGAAATTGATTAATTATTATATCAATATTATTTCTAATTTTTTTCCCATAGGAATGGCCGAAAGTAATGCTGCCTTGAATAGATCACTTCACTTGCATCGTGATACTCAGTTTGCTGCAGGGGCTATATATAAACAACTGTATGGAATAACAGATCCAGAAACTGGCAATGTTACAGTACCAGCTACATTTCAGGTAAATCTTTATCAGACAAGGCAATAATTCTATTCAGCAATGCATTTTTGAATCATCAAACTTTTCAGAATCCAATGTGAACTTGATGTGAGCTCTTTACTATCCCAAATGAGAGAGAAATGTTCTCTCCTTTTCCATCTTTCTAATCAGTTATTCTTGGAGTTAATGAACTCCATTGTATCCTGAGATAACCTATAATTTCCAATTATTCTTCTCACTATTTATTAAAACTTTCCAGATTATCAATATGTTAGGTTGGAAACCACATCCAAAGCAGCCTAAACCTATTGAAAGAGGTTCTGGAGAAGTTTCCCTCAAAGATTTATATAGGTTGGATGAAATTGTCAAGGAGGTGAAGACAGTAAAAACTGATGATGAGAAGAACTGATGGTTATTATTATTATTCATAGTCTATTATTCTGATTTATGAGGTGATGAAAGAATGGTTAATTATTTTTAATAAATGATATTTCCTATTTTGAGTTTCAATTACAGTGACTTACTGGGTATATTGATCATCTACATCTACAGTGCCTATATATAGTCATCATCAGGTAAATATACAGCCTTTGAAATTGTTTCAAGATCGTTCTCATTTCTACTAGCAGAATATATTCTTCAAGCACTTCCATATGTGTGAAAAGGGTAATTTAGAATGCCCTTAAACGAGCCGTTTTCGAGAAAAGGGACATTTTTTATTTTGATTTTCAAATAAATTCACATACTTAGTGGTTATTATGGTGTTCTTAATCAAGGCTGGTTGCCATTGTAACATTGGTCAAAAACTGACGACGGAAAGGTAAAGGTTCTTGTTCATAGAAGGTCCGTAAGAGGCGCTGATATATGGTCATATTTCTAAGGGCCAGCGGACCAAATAACAATCATTTATACTTTTACGACACAAAAAATACAGAAATGGTGTTTGTTCCTTCTTGATAGTATTCAATGATGGTTATTCACCTTACAAGAAGTGCAGAAAGTAGTAGGTACTTTTCAAGTATTCATTTCGCGTCGCAATGTCAAAAACAGAATCAAACTGCAAATAATTATATTCCAGCTAGTAAGTATGTGGAGATTTGGAATTATTTGCGAGGCAGAGAATTAGTAAAGGAGATTGAAAAATCAACTGCAGATAATACAAAAAGAAGTAAGTCTTCCATTTGGATCCAATTTATAGCGAATTTTGTGAACAAACAATATCCGGCTAGATCTGAACTCTCGCGTGGTATTACTCCCGATAAAATCGTGAGAGAGAATTCGTACATCGACATTTATTAGAAAGACACTCATATTGCGATCTTCAATTGGTTATTGTCAAGTTTGGGCAAAACAAAAGCAAATACCATATCACTTATATATAACTATACTAATATTATAAAGAGGAAAGATCTGTTTGTTTGTATTGAATTGGTCCGAAACTACTGCATCGATTTGAAAAAATCTTTCACCATTAGAAGCCGACATTATATCCCTGATGAACATAGGCAGAAATAAGTTACCCACTACATATAGGTTACTTTTTACCGCGGTAAAATGCTTCATTCCTACGGGAAAACGGGTAACAGGACAACGGGTAGTAAGAATAATTATCCATCCGTAGATGAGATGAAAGGAATATTGAGGAAACTGTTTAAAACAAACTAGGAATAGATTATTGGACATAGCCCGTATAGACACGTGTTTCGGGCTTTTGGCCCTCATCAGTACGGTGAAAGAAGTGCAAAAGATAGAAAGAACACTTATTGGTGGAAGACGGAACAACAAATCGACGGAGTCAACAATAAACAAAAGCCATCCGCACATTTGTGGTTTCGGTCAGAAGACCCTATGTCCAATAATCTATTCCTAGTTTGTTTAAAACAGTTTCCTCAATATTCCTTTCATCTTGATTCTACTCCTGGACTCGGATGTCACGCAAGTAGCTATAGCTGCCTCTGTGGTGACGTTAGTTGTATCCCTGAAAATGCAGGATCTTCTGACCGAAACCACAAATGTGCGGCTGGCTTTTGTTTGTTGACGGGCAGGACAGCTAGTCTCAAATAAAATAATAATGCCAATTCAAATTTTATTTATTTAATAATTTTGCCCTGTGGACGAGCCGGCTATGCGTGCTCGGATCCGGCGCCGATGCGGAACGGCCGCGCGGGGTGGCGAGGGGGCTTCACGGACCGACGACCGCGACGCGCTTCCCGGACGCTCTGGCCGGCCGTGCGGAACGCGGCTGTTGTCCTGTTGTGTAGTGGCCATCTTCTCCATGGCTGGCTAGATGTGTGTGCGTTTGCTTTGCTGGGCGCCAGTGTTGCCAACGACCAGGTTGCTGAAAAGCGCCAATCGGCCATTGAAAAATATACAGGGTGGGGGCATTTTTTTTATTCAACAACTTATTTACAAATTTTGTTTTAGATTCTAGTTAAATCAGGTAAATTCCTAAGTAGTAAAAAATCATTGTAATCACAATTATGAAGTTTAGGAGTTAATAATCATAATATCGTTCGATGGAAAGATGCGTGATATTTCTGTGGAATTTTCATGCCCTCAAATTATACAGGGTGGCTAAAAATGATTTTTCAATTCGGAACTTTTGGAAGTGATTTTTCTCGAGTTTTTCAAATGAAACACCCCATATATTTTTAGGCCATTTGGTGTAAAATCGAAACACGAACTTTTATCTCAACATCTATATATATATTGATATTTGTAAATACCTATCGTGTTTAAATAGGAGAATGAATGATGCTTATCTCATATTTTCTAATCAGAATCACTAAAAAGTTTCGTCAATGAAAGTTACCAGTCGATTACATCTTCAGGAATCATTCACATGACGACCTGCTCTCTAACAAACTGTAGAATAATGCATGAAATCATATTCCCTGTATAAATGTCCCAATAGTTATAACACGAAAAGGCCAGTTCTAGCCGTAAATAAGCTGTGTTGGCAACACTGCGGGGCGCTCTGTCTGGTCTGCAGGACCGGATCGGCTCTTTTCTTGGCGCCATCTAGATTATCATCGGCGAAAAAATACCGGCCAATGTTCATGAGCACGTAGCCACATGGTGGGTGCTACTCACACCGAATTATACACTCATCTAGAATGCCAATGCATGGAAAATTTATTGCGCACGTGCATTTCTGAGCTTGCGCAGTATGCAACACTGATACCGTGTTATTGGAATGATGTCAGGACCAGCCCCCAAAATTCTATTCTTTTTTTTTATCAACATACAGTCGTTTGATTACTTGGATTCGTACAGAAATGCGTTCCTTATATACATGAAATAACTACCACTCATGAAATAAATCAGTTGAAAATCAAATAAAAAATTCTATTGACTATTGAGACCAGAGACCTGTGTACTTCATTTGACAGCACCCTCCATTTTACACACTGTTGCCACGTGGATATATCGAACTGTTTGTTCTGTGGGATTTTTCACCAAAATAGTCACTGAAGCATAAAGCTCTATATTTTCTTGATAACTCTTAGAGAGTTATTGAGGGAAAATTCACGTACCCTTTATTATATCCATATAATACTCCTCTCGATGACATAAAACATTTTAGATTTGAGGTCGCAATGCGCAAACTCAGAAGTGCACTTACCTTATCTGTAGTGTGTAAATTTGTTCTCGCGCTCATGAAGTGCTAACAAGACTTAGTACCATTTCTGGTTGCGCAAATATAAAAGAGATGCACTTTCTAGGGGACTAACATAAAATGTTACCGTTTCTCGAAAAACGATGACTTGCTGTCGATATCATTAATTCAAAGAATGGTTGGTACCTATAATATAATCTCTCCTGTGAAATGCCAACATGAATTCTTCATATTACTAGCACTGAGAGAGAAAAATAGTCTTCCCCATCTGTCCTTGTCTTCATTGTTCCAACATAACATAATGATATTTTTATGTTGGCAACACTGGAAATGAGAAGAAATGGAGAAGAAGACCATTCTAACCTTTTTCATATTGAGGTAAATATGATCTTCTTCTCCATTGTTTCCCATTTCCAATGATACTGAAGACAAGGACATATGGGGAAGACATTTTTTTTTACTCTCAACGCTAGAGGAGAAGTGCCTAAATCTTCGAACCATTGCCATCACGTCTGCAGGACCGGTTCGACACTTTTTTGGGCACCATCTAGAAAATTATCACCGGCAAAAAAATACCGGCCAATATTTATGAGCATGTACCTAGGTAGCCGCTCTTCATCTTGGCGTTTAGGCTTGTTTGGTTCTCTTTCTGGTCTGCATCAGGACCAGATAAACGCTTTTCTGGGTGTCATCTAAAAAATTATCACCGGCAAAAAAATACTGGCCAATGTTCTTCTTCTCTGGTCTGCAGGACCGGCTCAACACTTTTCTGGGCGCCATCTAGAAAATTATCACCGGCAGAAAGATACCAGAAATATTTATGAGCAGGTAAGTGGACGCATCTTCTTCTTAGCATTTGGGTTTGTTTGGTGCTCTGTCTGCTCTGGATCAAGACCAGATCGACACTTTTCTGGATGCCTTCAAGGAAATTATCACCGGCAAAAAAATTCCGGACATTATTTAAGAGCATGTTGGTGACCGCATCTCCTTCTTGGCGTTCAAGTTTGTTTGGTGTTCTGTCTGGTCTGCAGGACCGGATCGAGACTTTTCTGGGCGCCCTAGGCTCTCAAACAATGCGTGCCTCTGAATCATAAATACAGTGTGGAAAGCTATATATGGTGAAAAAAAAAATTGTATCTCTATGACAGACACTTATTCTGAAAAAATCAAAATTTTCAAATTGTATGAGGCGTCAAGTTACACTTTGTTAAAGAGGTAAGTATTTTAGATCTCTATACAGAGGGTAGGGCATTAGCACGTCGAAGCTCGATTGCTCGAGTTTTAGGATAGCTAGAAACTTGCATCATTTTATCCCGTGGTGTTTCGGAAATGTCCATGAAATATCATCTTCAGGAGCCCTCTTTCAGGAGTTCGTAGCTCCCTTAGGAGACATTTCTCGACTCATGTTCATTGGAACTTTTCTTCCTATTTTTGGTCGTAGAAACCGCTGGTGGAGTTTGGCAGAATACTTTCGGGACACCCTGTATAGAGATGTGTCTCAATCTCAATGGGCAACATGTGGTTGTTGAGTTCGTGATTTCATTTTGAATAATTTTGTTATTTTTTACTGTGTACTCAACTAGTACATGTACTATTTCGATTTGCTTTGGTTCTGAAATCAATTGTTTCAATAAAAAAACTGGTTTACTAAATTATTGATTGAACTTTTGATGTTTCAATAACAGATGAGAATGTGTGTTGATGAAAATGACCAACCTGAAATTTTCAAAGTTCAATAATTCGAAAATGGTTACGAATATCAATATGGATGTTGGGATGAAAGATTTTACATCAAATGATGAAAAAATATATCTCTTAAATATTTGTGACGACAGTGATTTTTTCGGTCGGCATCTGCAGATGAAATTATTTCGACAT